TAACGCACAAATCAATTGGAATTATTCAAACCCTAATTCATAAATTTATAAATAATTAAGCACAAATAATCATGGTATAAACATGACTTCCCTCACTTAACCTAGAAAACGACTACTCACTTATAATTGAAATAAAAAAAACAAAAGAGATTAATAAACTTGAATTCATAATTAATAAAATAAATAAAGAACGAAAGATTGAATGAAAATACCTCAATGATTGAACTAATGGAGAATGAAAAGCTAGGGTTCAACAATGGAGAGAAAGAAAACTAAGAAGCGTTTAATCTAGAAAAATAAAACATAAAGAGAAGAAAATAAAATCCTCTCAAGTATTTATATTTATATTAAAGCCTAATCCTAAGTAAAAATAAAATAGATAAAATAAAATAAGGAAAAAAAAATAAAAATAAAGGTCATCTTTTAATTGGTCGCGAGAATTACGATCGACGGAAAACAAGATTCCCGCACGCCAGACCCATCGCCCGATGGATGGCCGATGGTCGATTGGCTGTAGGATGCGACGAATTTGACGCTCGACCATCTTGGGCTAGGCAGATTCGAAGGGTCGTTTGTGCGGCTAAACCATCGCCCGATGGCTGGGCGCTTGCTGGCAGATTTGCAGGGCCAATTTTGGATGGTTGTAACTCACAATCTAGGAATTTTATGAAGGCGTACAACCTATCATTGGAAAGATATTCAAGTCTAGTTTTCAACCCAACTTGAATCACCTCAATTTTATTTGTAGAACTCGAGATATGGCTGAAACAATGAACAAAGTTCCTTTTTATTCTTTGCAAGCCTTTGATTTCCTTTGTTCCTAACTCAAATTCAATTCCGAAAAGTGCATATCGATCCTTGTGGATGCTATTTTCAATTACCATGCATATAATCATTAGAGACAACATCCACGAGCATAAATCCCTCGGTCAATGAACTCATTCCATCTATTTCCATTCAAATATCATTCGAATCATCTCCAAACACTTCGAAAGTTGCCAAATGACTACGAAATCACCTGAAACATTAAGAAATACACAAACGGAGCGTAATAGAGTGATATATGATGACTTATGCAAATATGACCCTAAAATCGACCAAAAAGACTAAGAAAAAGGCATAAAAACTAACATTAACATGTTTAAGAACCCTATAAATGTGATTTATCAAATTCCCCCAAGCTAAACCATTGCTTGTCCCTAATAAACACTTTACTCAAGACGGAGAAACAAGAAAAATAAGATTTCCAGGAAGCAGAATTAGACCGACTTGACTCTCGAGCAAACTATGAAACCAAAGTTAGCGAAACTGAAATCTGGCTCAGATACATATAGAACCACGTAGCACTCATAGTCCTGCAATTAACTCACCAATCTAGAGGCCACAAACAGTCTCTTTCCAAGCTAGTTTCCGCCGATTTCTTGTAGATATGCTGAAGTCGAGCACGAGAGGTGCCCTACCAGCTTAGGGTTATAATAGACACTCAACCTATACCATGTCGACTCGGAATGCAACCATTACTCTTTAACTTTGACTCAAAACTCAGTTCACTTAATCACAACTTATGCACGAAGATAAAAAAAAAGAAACGAAACTAACACTAAAAAAAAAAAGATTAAAACTAGAAGAATAGCATACATTACACGATAAATGAATAGAAAAAAAAACAAAAAAAAAACGAAGGAAAGTAAGAAAAATTAAAAACAAAAAAGAAGAGAAACTAAAAAGAAAAGGAAAAACAAAACTAAAAGAATTAAAATAAAAGAAGAATTAGGAAATCGAGTTGCCTCCCGATAAGCGCTCATTTAGAGTCGTGAGCTGGACTTCTTACCTAGTGTCAAGCATCAATTGGTGTATCGAAGAGATAAATTGTCTCTAATTTGCCGATGAAAGCACCCTTGGTATATAGCTTAAAATGTTGTCCATTTACCTTGAATTTCGTGCCGTTTTCACTAGCACCTTTATGGCTCCATATGCTTTGACATCGGTGACTGTGAAAGGCCCGGACCATCTAGACCTAAGCTTTCCAAGAAAGAGTCGAAGTCTTGAGTTATAAAGCAACACCTTGTCACCATTATTGAACTCTCGTTTTTGGATAATCTTATCGTGAAACTTCTTCGTTTGCTCCTTGTAGAGCCTATGATTCTGGTAAGCATCGAGCCGAATCTCATCTAGCTCGTTCAATTAAAGAAGTCTCGCTTCACCGGCCTTCTCTAGATCTAAATTAATCTCCTTGACGCCCCATTGTGAAAGGTATTCCATTTTGATTGGTAAATGACAATCTTTGCCATACACCAACTGATACGGTGTTGTCCCTAACGGAGTCTTGTAAGCCGTTCGCAATGCCCACAATGTATCATCCAACTTCAATGACCAATCTTTGCAGGATTTGTTGACTACCTTTCAAGGATTCTCTTGATTTTTCGATTAGATACCTCAACTTGGCCGCTCGTTTGAGGATGATAGGCCAAGCCAACCTTATGAGTAACTCCATGTTTCTTAAGAAGAGACTTGAAAGTTCGTTGATGGAAATGAGAACCACCGTCATTAATAACAACTCTTGGGACTCCGAAGCGCAAAAAGATGATATTTTTGAATAGCTTCATAACGACCTTCGAATCATTAGTAGGCGATGCAATAGCTTTGACCCACTTGGTGACATAGTCAACAACAACCAAAATGTACCGATTCCAACAAGAAGAGGGAAACAGTCCCATAAAATCAATGCCCCAGACATCAAAAGGCTCGACCTCAAGAATCCCATTTTGTGGCATCTCTTGCCTCATCGATATATTTCCTGTTCTTTGACACTCATCACATGCATTGCAAAAGGCACGAGCATCCTTGAATAATGAGGGCCAATAGAAACCACATTGAAGCACTCGGTAGGTAGTTGCAGTAGAACCAAGATGTCCACTAGAAGGTATATTATGGCAATGATGAAGGATACCATTAGTATCCCAATCTGCTACACATCTCCGAAACATTCCATCAGCACACTTACGATACAAATGAGGGTCATCCCAAAAGTACCGCTTGGCATCATGGTAGAACTTCTTGCGTTGTTGGTAAGTCAAATCCGAAGGATGTGAACCACCTACACAAAAATTAGCATAGTCAGCATACCATGGAGATACAGAAGAAACAGAGAATAAATGATCATCGGGGAAAGAGTCATTTATAGGGCTATCTGAAGTAGACTGAATGAGAGAGGTGATCTGCAACAACGTTCTCGACACCCTTTTTATCTCGAATTTCTAAATCGAACTCTTGAAGGAGAAAAATCCATTGAATGAGCCTCGGTTTAGCCTCTTTCTTTGCTAGGAGATACTTTAGAGCGGCATGGTCAGTGTGGACAATTACTTTTGAACCAATGAGGTAAGTTCAAAACTTGTCAAGAGCATATACAATAGCTAGGATCTCTTTCTCAGTGGTGGCATAATTCATATGAGCCTCATCCAAGGTTTTACAAGCATAGTAAATGGCATGCAAAACCTTGTTCTTTCATTGTCCAAGCACGGCTCCACAACATAGTCACTCGCATTACACATGATCTCGAACGACAAATCCCAATCCGAAGGTTGTATGATAGGAGCAGTTATCAACGCCTCCTTAATCTTGTTAAAAGACTCCATAAAAGCATCAGTAAACTCAAATGTGGCATCCTTAAGCAATAATTGAGTGAGGGGTTTCGCTATTTTCGAAAAATCTTTTATAAATCGGCGATAAAACACTGCATGACCAAGAAAACTTCTCATTCCCTTGACATTCACAGGAGGGGGAAGTTTCTCAATCACCTCAATTTTTGCTTTGTCAACTTGGATTCCACGATCAAAAATAAGATGACCAAGTACCACTCCTTCATTGACCATGAAGTGGCACTATTCCCAATTCAAGACCAAATTAACGTCAGTACAACGTTTAAGCACCTTAGAAAGATTATGCAAGCACATATCAAAGTCAGAACCATAAACACTGAAATCATCCATAAATACCTCCATGATGTTCTCAATGAAATCAGAGAAAATGGCCATCATACAGCTTTGAAATGTCGCAAGGGCGTTACACAACCCAAATGGCATTCTGCGATATCAAATGTACCATAGGGGCATGTGAACGTTGTCTTCTCTTGATCTTCCGGATGAATGGGAATTTGAAAGAAACCTGAATATCCATCCAAATAACAGAAAAAACTATGTTTTGCTAATCTTTCAAGCATTTAATCTATAAAAGGTAAGGGAAAGTGATCTTTTAAGGTGGCCATATTCGACCTGCGATAATTGATACACATACGCCAACTTGTGACAACACGAGTAGGAATTAGTTCATTCTTATCATTTTTAACAACAGTTGTCCCCCCTTTCTCAGGAATGACTTGTACGGGGCTCACCCACTTAGAATATGAGATGGGGTAGATGATGCCCGCGTCAAGAAGTTTCATTACCTCTTTCTTCACCACCTCTTGCATATTAGGATTCAATCGGTGTTGTGGTTGGATGCAAGGGCGATGATTCTCTTCCAAATTGATTCTATGCATACAAAAATTAGGACTTATCCCTATAAGATCGTCAATGCTATACTCGATTGCCTTTTTATGCATGCGAAGCACAGTCAAAAGCTTAAAAACTTGATTATCATCGAGTTTAGCACTAACACTTACAGGGCATTCCTCATTATCATCGAGAAATGCATATTTAAGATGAGAAGGTAAAGGTTTCAACTTTACCTTTTATACTTGTGACTCAAAAGTAGAATAAATAGTTTCCATTACCTCAAACCCTTGAGTGTTAGGGGCATCCAAGTCATGAATCAAGGAGTCAATCTCTGCATCTCCTTCTCCTTCAGAGACCTCCAGGGTGAGAACAGCTTCTAATGGATCATTAGCTAACTCACGAGGCGTATCATCTGTCACAATCTCATCAAGCACATTAATCCTGCAACAAGTATTCTCAAGCAAAGGCGACTTCATCGCATTGTTTAGATTAAAAGTCACTGTATCATCACCAACAGACAAAGTAATCACCAACAGACAAAGTAAGGGACCCAGACTTGACATCAATAACAGCACCTGCAGTACACAAGAAAGGTCTACCTAAAATGATCGGGATATTACTATCCTCCTCCATTTCCAAAACTATAAAGTCAACAGGAATAAAAAATTTCCCAACCCAAACGGGGACATCCTCCAAAACACCTAAAGGGTATTTTATAGAACGATCCGCCATTTGCAAAGTGATTTGTGTGTATTTTAAAGCTCCCATATTCAACCCGTTACAAACAGAAAGAGGCATAACAGACACACTAGAAGCTAAGTCACATAAAGCTTTATCAATGAATAATGCACCTACATGACATGGGATGGAAACACTACCAAGGTCCTTAAGCTTAGGTGGGGATTTATTTTGCAATATTGCACTACACTCTGCAGTAAGAGCGACTGTTTCTACACCACCAAAGTATTTATTCTTAGTAATCATTTCCTTTAAAAACTTTGCAAGGTGGGCCGCGTTTTCTCGCCATCTACCATAGAAAGCAAGGAAACCTTCATCGTCGCCTTGCTTAAGCATCTCGAGTTCACGTAAAGTTGACTTGAGCTCTACGTTACTCTCGTATTGGGTGATGAAAGCCGAAACTATATCTTCCCATGTTGCTTTGAATTTTGGATCTAGCCCATACTACCACTCTCTCGTGGTTGGGTCTAGTGATAAAAGGAAAGTCAAAGCATAAAGCTTAGGATCAACTCCCTTTAGTGCCATAGTGCCAATAAAACACATTAAATGATTTTGTGGATTATTGGTCATCTTAAATATTGGCAAGTCCATAGCTATGAACTTTTATGGTAAAGCAAGTACTGGGGGAGGAGCAAAATTTTCTTCGTCAAAGTACTTGTTCCCCATAGTAGAACGAAGAACTAGCTTCTCTAACGACTTTTCTTTGATGGATAATTGCTCCATCTTTTCTTGTAAGGGTAATGCTTCAACTTTTTTCTTTTCAGCGTTTTTCATCTTCTTAATTCTCCTATCCTTGGCCTCTTGAGCCTTTTCCTCTCTCATACGAAGATTCTCTTGTTGAAGTTCTTCGACAGTTGTCATTGTTGTTGGACTAGGATTAGTTGTCGAATGAAAGTGGTTTGAAAGGGGTTGATCTTTGGGTGGTAAACGTAGAATGCGAGTGCCCGGGGGTCCTCTTTTCCAAGCTTGATGTTGATCTTAAGTTTTGATGATGACTCAGGGAACCTAAGCAAACCCATAGGGGCTTTAACTTTTGTCTATTAGCTTTGATGTATTGACAGGTTTTATATGCAACGAAGTTCTAGAGATAGAATGGAGCATGGAATAAGTCTAAAGGATGAGCTATGAACGAGCATAGAAGACAATCAGAAGCCAAGTTGCTTGAGTGAGGAACTAAAGCTCCAGAGTCGAAGCTTCACTGTGTTCCAAGGAGTCTATTGTATCTTTATTATTTATTTTAGGCTTCTTGTATATATGTTAAGTTCATTTTTAATTGATAGGATTTAAGTGGATTTAATTTCAGTTTATAAAGATTTTATTTTTTCTTTTCTTTAACAAAGATTTAATTTTATTTCGGAAAAATATCTTTTAAGTAAAAATATCTTATTTATTAAAAGATTTTCTGTTCTGATTTTATCCTAACATTTTGGAAAATCTGACTTGGTAAAACTATTTTTTAAACGACTTTTACTTGGTAAAGGAGGTTGAGAAAATATAGGAACCACTTCCTTACTGTGCGCTTCAGCTTGCTGCCCAAGCATCCACGAACTGCACTTCCTTATTTCATGGAAGTTGTGGTATAGTGGGAGCTAAGGAAAACGTAAGGTTTTCAACTGCTTTCCTCCTGTATAAATAGGATTAGTTTTCTGTTTTGAAAAGTACACTTGAGCATTACGATTCTTAGCTTTTCTAAAAGAGTCAAAAATCCACTTAAGTCCTTGAGTGTCTTTGTACTTAGCATCTTAGTAGTTTTATATTGAGTTGTATTGGGGTAGAGTTTGGGTAAACACTAGAGTGTGAAATTGCTTTGAGTGAAGCAAGGAGAAAGAGAGAGATTCGAGATCTCAACTGATTGAGGGATCAGTTGAGGGGGAACTTAAGTTCGTAGAGGAACTTGAGTTTAGAAGTCTTAATTTGTAATAGGTTGTTTGCCCTATTATTATTAAGAGTTGTGATTAAAATCCCTTGTGGTCGTGGTTTTTCTTCTTGATTAGGGCCAAGAAGTTTTCCATGTAAAATCTCTCTTGCACTTTAAAGTTTTGTTTAAGTTTCTTTAAGAATTCCGCAAAAATTACCCTAGTTCCTCAACAATACAATTCACCCCCTCTTGTATTGTTCATTAGAGTCAACAATTGGTATCAGAGATGGTTCCTCGAAGAAATCAGGAAACCCTGACGAGTTAAGTTCCTGGAATCAAGATGAACAATCACGAGAAACTGGAAGAAGGTTACTCTACGCAGCGTCCTCCTATGTTCAATGGAAAATTCTACACCTATTGGAAGAACAGGATGGATATTTTTATCAAAGCCGACAACTACCAGGTTTGGAGAGTGATCGAAGTTGGTGATTTTGAAATTACCAAAACCACTGGTGAAAATGAGGTAGTACCTAAACCCATGTCTGAATTTGATAAGGAAGATTTTGAGAAAATGGAAATTAATGCACATGCTGTTAAATTACTTCATTGTGGACTTGGACCCAATGAACACAACCGTGTTATGGGTTGTAAAAATGCTAAAGAAATTTGGGATTTACTTCAAGTCACTCATAAAGGAACTAACGAAGTGAAACGCTCTAAGATTGACTTGCTTATGTCAAAATATGAACGGTTTGAAATGCAACCAAAAGAATCAATTCAGGAAATGTTAACTAGATTTACTAACATTACTAATGAGCTTGTTTCTCTTGGAAAGCAAATCCCTATTGATGAGCAGGTCAGAAAAGTTCTAAGAAGCCTCCCCCAAGATGAGATATGGAGAGCCAAGGTAACAGCCTTACAAGAAACAAAGGACTTCACAAAGTTCAATATTGAGCAACTTGCTGGTTCCCTCATAACTCATGAGTTGCACCTAGGAACAAGCAACAGTGAAGGAAACCGAGGAAAAGGCTTGGCTCTCAAAGCTGGAGATCAAGAAGACTCTGAAGTCGATGAAGAAGAGGCTGCTATGCTGGTGAGAAGGTTCAAAAGAATGTTCAACCGATGCAACAAGTCAAGGAACTTCACCAAGAAACCCTCTACTTCAAAAGCTGACTCTGGTTGTCACAAATGTGGATCTCTAGAACACTTTATTCGTAAGTGTCCACTTTGGGATACAGAGAAAGGTAAAGGGAAGGCAAGGGAACAAATTAAGAGCAACTACAACAAAACTCCTTTCAATAAAACAGACATTAGGAAGGCTATGATTGCTGCCTGGGGAGATTCTGAAAGTGAGGATGAAGAGAAACAACCTGATGAAAAGGCTTCCAACGATGAGCTTGCTAAAGAGGTATTCCTTGATCCTAATGTGCTTAAAACTTATACTAAAGATGCTCTCATTGATTTAGTGTTTGAATTAGAAGATGACTGGACTCACACTAGTATTCGTCTAGGTGAATGTCAAAGAGCTCTCAAAGTCTGCAAGGAACACAGTACGTGGATTGAGAATCAACGAAATGATGTTCAAAGTAGATTTTTTGAACTTTTTGACAAAAATCTTCTATTAAAAGAAATGAATGAGAAACTCAAGTTTGAGAATATCATGGTTAATGTAGAATTGACTCAATACAAACTTGCTAATACTTAAGTGTCTCCAAGTTCCTCCTCTGAATCTTTGCCTAAATTTAATGAGGATTTTGAAAAATTAAAATATGATCTTGACGAGTTAAGAATTGAAAAGGCTAAATTAGAGAAGGAACTTGAGCTTCGAAAAGAAAGAAGCATTAGCCAGTTTGGAATTCCTAAGTGGATAGAGAATTGTAGGGAATAATTTCAAGCCTTTAAAATCCCACTAGCTTGAACCCCACTGTGATCATACACTAAAGTACGGTGGCGTCCAAAAGGGAAGAAGATAGAGCAAAAGAGTCGCCAACAAGTTTTTAAGGAACTTGTAAACCGTTCACGAGGTGAAGGTTACACCCCTTAACGATCCAAGAGATCGTCAACTCCATAAGGTCATGAACCAAAATAGGGTTCAGGGATGATGGTACAAATCCAACCTAAAAGAGATCGAACCTGCCCTAATAATGGGCCTCTACTTTATTCTGATCGTATTCATGTGCGCTTTCTGATTAACATGCAATCAATAGGATTAACCCTAAACCTGTTTAATCTATGTTGGTTGAATTTAATGCACAAATAAACTATTATTGGCGATCACTTGAATATAATCACAATAACCCTAACAAGATTATTAATTATCTTATTAAGCGTGATTGCAAGTATCAATTCCCTTTAAACATGCATGAAAGGTGTGATCAAGCAATAACAATATATAATATATATCAAGCAACATAATAAATAATAATAATCAATCATAATCATAATAATAATAAATATTAGGGAGAATATAGGAAGCATCATACTTTTAATCATACTTAATATTAAAGATACCCTAGACATGATACTAGGAATCAAAATAACAATCTAAGCATGATATCTACATCATAAATCAATTAATCAATAAAATCCCTTAAAGTACTTACTTGGATGCCTCGTACCTCTTTCTAATTACAAAATACACGCGTTAGTAACTTCAAGGAAAATAATAAACAAAACAATTAAATTAAATTATTGAAATAGAGATTTGGGACCAAACCCTTAGAAATTAAAACCTTTCACGTCTAGGGCGAAGGCAACTTCGAATATGGCTAGGTGTTTCTAGATCTAATGAATGCGGAATTTTGTGTGAAAAAGCAAAGTAGGAAAAGAATAAATGAATTAATGTTATTGAAAATTGATGAATGAATGATGTAGATGATGAATGGAGAGAGTTAATGTATGGTTTTGATGAAGATAGTTGATGAAAACTTAAGAATAAAGAGAATTGGTGAACGATAGATGTAGATGATGATTGAAAACGGAGTTTTTGATACGATATTTATAGAGAAAATCATCCAAAAAAGATAATTTATCAAAACAAAGTCTGAAGACCACAAAACCACCTTGGCGCCAGCCCTGGCTCATTGGCGCCAGGACCAGTGGCTAGCGCCAGACGCCAATGGCTGGCGTCTGGCGCCAATCCTGATTCCAGGCACGAAGGCCTGGGGTTGGACGCCAAATTGGATTTCAACGCATTTTCGAAAATCTGATAAATTTCCCGTACTGGAAGATAAAATAATATAATTTCAGTCGAAAATGCTATTTGATCTAAATTAAACTCTGAAGAATCCTAATTGAATTAAGAATGATAAAACCTTCTAGAATGTTCTAGAAGACAAAAACCATTCCTAATTGCATTAGGAATGATAAATCATATTAGGCCCTCCCC